AGCAGCGGAACCGGAGCAGGCGGACGGCATCGAACCGTGGCGCACGGACAAACATCTGTTGTGTTGTCAACTATTTTTCGGTTTCTTTTCCTGAATACAGGTGTTGGGTGTGTGTGATGACGTCACTGGTTTTGTAGAGAGNGACGAGGGAGAAAGCGAGGAACCGACTGGGAAGGACAGCAACGAGAGCGTGTACGAAGCGGAGCGGGTCGAGTTTGGTCGTGCTAGGACTGGCCACAGCGTCACCGGAGCAGCGTCACCGGAGCAGCGGAACCGGAGCAGGCGGACGGCATCGAACCGTGGCGCACGGACAAACATCTGTTGTGTTGTCAACTATTTTTCGGTTTCTTTTCCTGAATACAGGTGTTGGGTGTGTGTGATGACGTCACTGGTTTTGTAGAGAGCCGCGGCAGAGATAGCGCGGGTAACCCGGGTGCCTTAATTGTGTACCTGCATCGTGGAAGACCCCTTCAATGTGGAACGCTTCCTAGTCAGTGTCGATGTTTAAACTGCTGTGCCTAACACAGATGATCTGGATAGATTCGGGTGATTGTCAATTGCAATGATGGCTTTGGTTGGGCGTTCTTCTTCATTGTATGTCCACGGGCTCATTCTGACAGCACTTCAGACAGCAGCTCCATGCCCCGAGCTTGTGTACCATGCACCATGGTGTTATTATTGTACAGGCAGCACTTCAGACAGCAGTACGCTGTAGTCGACAAACATTCATTTTGGTTAAATGCGGGACACGGGGGGTGATGCTGCTGCTGTAGTCGATTTGTAGTGTGTGGGCGTGTAGTTCAGTTGTGAGCACGCAAATGTGCTGCAGGGATTGCAGGTGTACCTCCTCGGGCTTGCGTACCCTTTCCTTGCTAAAAGTGTATGTTCTTTAGATCTTCTGACGGCTCTGGCATTTTTGTGACCACGGACCGAGTCTTTGCTAGATTTGGGATTAGCAACTGACACGAGTTAATGTGAAGAAAAACAACAACAACAACAACAACAACAACCGGTGGGGTACGAAGGATTCGGTGTAACCGTGAATCCGTGGTTTGTGGAAGCGTTCCGGAAATTTCGTGAAAGAGCGGCGAGAGGCAAAAAAGGGTACACGAGGGTATAGCTATCTATACAGAGTGCAAAGAAGAGTGAGAGAGTGGCAGAAGCTTTTGGGATCCTTGGGAAGCCGAGGACCTCGAAAGGAAAAGCGTTGCATCGCCCTATTTGTCCTAGACACGCCGGAGCGATGAACAACGGCAACAACCTGCAGCAGNAAGTGTATGTTCTTTAGATCTTCTGACGGCTCTGGCATTTTTGTGACCACGGACCGAGTCTTTGCTAGATTTGGGATTAGCAACTGACACGAGTTAATGTGAAGAAAAACAACAACAACAACAACAACAACAACCGGTGGGGTACGAAGGATTCGGTGTAACCGTGAATCCGTGGTTTGTGGAAGCGTTCCGGAAATTTCGTGAAAGAGCGGCGAGAGGCAAAAAAGGGTACACGAGGGTATAGCTATCTATACAGAGTGCAAAGAAGAGTGAGAGAGTGGCAGAAGCTTTTGGGATCCTTGGGAAGCCGAGGACCTCGAAAGGAAAAGCGTTGCATCGCCCTATTTGTCCTAGACACGCCGGAGCGATGAACAACGGCAACAACCTGCAGCAGCAGGGTCAGGGTCCCTCCCAGCAGCCGCAGCCAGCGCAGCTAGCGCAACGTCCACCGCCTCCACCGCCGCCTCCAGGTGGACCACCGCCCGCAGCTAACCAACAACAGAGCAGCGGCGGCGGAGGAGGAGCAGTAGCGGCAGCTCCTCATAGTGGCGGACAGGCAGTAGCAGCGGGCAGCCAGCCAGCAGGGGCGGCGGGAAACCAACAGGCGGCGGGACACAACAACGNCCCAGCAGCCGCAGCCAGCGCAGCTAGCGCAACGTCCACCGCCTCCACCGCCGCCTCCAGGTGGACCACCGCCCGCAGCTAACCAACAACAGAGCAGCGGCGGCGGAGGAGGAGCAGTAGCGGCAGCTCCTCATAGTGGCGGACAGGCAGTAGCAGCGGGCAGCCAGCCAGCAGGGGCGGCGGGAAACCAACAGGCGGCGGGACACAACAACGCGCCTCCGGCAGCAGGAGGAGGAGACCAGAACGCGGGCGGAGCCGCGCCAGCCGGGCTGGGAGGCCGACCTCCCCCCATCAACCCTGTCCAGCTACTGCTGCAGATGTCTCTACTGCTAAAAGAGCAAAACGACCGACTCGGCAACCTGGAGCTCAGGATGTAGCAGCAGCAGCAGCACCCGCAGGACCAGCACCAGCAACAGCAACAGCAACAGCAGCCTGGCCACCTCCCCCCTGGCGGCCTCCAGCAGCAAGGTCAGCCCCAGCCCACCAATCTCCCTCTAGGTGGCCAGATCGTGCTACAGCCCCAGCAAGCGCAAGCTCTGGGCCAAAACATGAACGTGTCGAACCAGGCCCTCAACACCCATGTACAGAAAGAAAGGTTTCGCCGCGATACGAAGGCATGGGGAGACGAGTCCGCGGCGACGCTGCTTCTGCTGCGCGGCGGGTNCACCCATGTACGGAAGCAAAGGTTTCGCCGCGATACGAAGGCATGGGGAGACGAGTCCGCAGCGACGCTGCTTCTGCTGCGCGGCGGGTCGTTCGTTAGCACCACGCGGTGAAAGAACGCAATCGCCCAGCTGCTGCGCAAAGCGGCCTATCCCGACGCCGAAATGATCGATTCGCTGATGACCCTCGCCAACGTCGACATCGCCAAGTTCTCCCCACCCCTCCCTACCGGGTGGACCTAGCAGCCACGCGTCTTCATCGTTCACCTCGAGACGTTCGTGAAAGCATTCTTCGCCATGTTGGACCATGGCACACACGCCGCAGGCGAACCATCGACCGGTCGCAGGCAACAGTTGAAAGCCGAAGTCAGCCGCGTTGTGTCCAACGCCCGGGACTACCTCAGCCTTCATTCAGGGGAGATCACGGGTCAAGAAGCAGCGGTGAAGACGCGCCTGATCACCGACACCAACACCGACATCAACGAGTATCTCGGGAACATCTCAGACCTTGGCGTCGCGACCCGCGCCGACCACGACATCTGCCCGCCGGCAGACGAGGACGTGCAACCCGTCCCCCCCCCCGCGTTTTCGCGGCTGCGCGGTCTCACCGCGGAAGGCAGCGCCAACGCCATCGTCGGAGAGCTTAACGACGGCCTGGCCGGGCTCCCGCAGCCACAGAAGGGGAAAGCGTCAGCGAGCAGCGCCACGTGCGGACATACAGCATCCCGCCCGCGGATAACCGTCGCACCCGTCGCCAACCAACACGCGGTGGCGACACTGTCCTCGTTCCAGCAGGACCTCCTCACGTGGGGAACCCCCCACCGCGCGTGTCACTCCCACTGGAAAGGTCAAAAGTGCACCCGCCCGCACTGCACCCTCAACGACGTACAGGTTCACCCCAGCGTCGCCCCCCCCGGTCCGCCGCCCGGTCCGCCGCCCACAGCGCCAGCCCGGGCCCCCGCCCCCACGACCGCCCTTGCTCCTGCCCCCGCCCCCGCCCCCGCCGCATCACGCCCCGTGGTCGCCCGTTACAGCAACAACCACAGGCCACACGGAGCAGCAGGAACCAACTCCTGACAATACGGGCCCCATCCAGAGGTGGGGCCAACGCGGCTGAGGGGGGCGGGTGGCACCACGGCAGTAGCTTTTGTAGACAGGAGCAGGACCGTGGCGCTAAGTGAAGCGCCTCTTCCCGGGTTGGTGGCACCGAACGTCTTCTACGGTGAGAGAAGAAGTACCCGCCCGAGTAAATCAAGTACCAATAGTGAGGAACAT